GGGTTAGGTGAATAACCACACTTGGGTCTTGTATGCGTGTTTCTGAAACACAGCATACATCAATGGCTCGTGATGCCAGGGTCTTGGCTAGTGATGCTTGTTGTCCTATTTGGCAAAGTGTCCTAACATTAAGAGCTCCTATATGAAATTGGTGGCGCGGCTTTAAGAGGCTGTCGGTGGTGGTTTTTTGGCTTCCATCGTTTTTAGTGGACGCAGAGTGGAGAGGAAGTGGAGAGCTATCAAGTCGAGGAGTTGCATCAGTGGAAGGAAGGCAAGATGATAGAGATGAAGATGAAGACAAAGATGAGTGAGTAATAGAGAGGTTTCGTGTGCATTTCGGATTGTGAGGGCGATTGTTACTTCCCGGCTGCCCACACCGTGGAAGTTGGTTGCGTGACCGCAGAGCCCAGGGGACAACTGCTTGAGGCCGGTCACACGCGGCCTGTTTTTGTTCGTTCTTTTTTGTTTGGTGTGTCTCAGTAGCAGATTTATCACTCCCGCCCTGTGACACGGCAGCAGGAAGCGCGGTCGTTGTTAATCCGGGCCACGGCCGATCCGGCATGAAATTTTGTGATTTTGTATTGGACATGATGTTGGATTGGGTAGCTGCTTTTTGTTTAACCGCTATCCAAACAACCTGCCTGGCATGGTAGAACCTCAAGAGACATAAGTCTCAGCCAGTATAGCTTGATTAGGTCATTGCGGTGTTCAAGCCCGACCACCACGTCAAGGTAGCAGCTTTCGGTCGGGTTTATATCACTCAGAAACTTGCAATCCGCTTCACCAAAAAGCATTTCCAATAGGCTACTGCAGACTTTAACCAACAACTGCCTTCATTCCCTCGACACTGAAAAAAAAATTGCCGGACAGTCGGGAAGGATTAGCAACAAGAAATTCCGACAACCAGCCAAGTACCTGTCGCATAACAAATACGTCGAAGGAAAAGGAGATGGACTGGGCACATGCTGAGGAAACACGTGTGTGTAGTCCTAAATAAATGTTAAAAATGGATCCATTGTACAAAGATTTTGTTTAGAACGATCCATTGTAAATCACACTTAACTTTAAAGTACAATCTAAAATACAGCTTGCTGCTCTTCAATTATTCTTCTTACTGTCTACTTGTTTCAATACTAATCGTATTGTATCCCTTTGGAATTTGCAGGAACCTATCACACTCATCCGAAGACTATTCTACAACCGGTGCACAGCTTCTTTTAGTAGACACGACCCCAGAACTGAACGCTTCTGTGGATTATATTAAAAATTTGTAGCAGATGTACTTGAACTGTATCACCAAGTGACACAAGATGGGATCTGTTTAATGATGATTCACTTGATGACAATATCTCTAATATTACATCTTATCTGAAATTCTGTTTTGAAATCTGTTGTCCAAAAGAAACACTATTCGTCAAATTTGACTGTTTCTCCTCGCCTCAACTTAAAAAGCTTTGTAGAGAGAAGGAAAAACTGTATAAAATGAAAGATAAAAGTGGTGTAAAAAGAACTAACTTCTTAATTAAGTCTAAAATGCAGAGGTTGAATGTAATATATAACAAGAAATCCTTCTAATATGTGGAAACTATTTAAGGAAATCACTGGTGGTGAGCAGATAAACAATTTTCCATATTCTTTTGATGTATGTACTCTTAATAAATTTTTTAGTCACTCTCCCTCAAATGCCATGCTTCCCAGCTTAGGATCAGATTATGTACCTAGCATTATTTAAAAAAAAATGTTCTGATATTCTGTGTCACCCTCTCACTGATCTATTTAACGAATCTTTTTCCAGTAATATTGTGCCTGCCGTTTGGAAGGACATTAAAGTTGTACCCATACCTAAATCATCTACTTGAGCATGTGTCAAATTTAGACCCATTGCTATCACCTCTCCTTTTTTGAAAACTATGGAGAAATTACTTTTACTTAGTCTTGTACCTTCGCTTAAATCCTTTAATGACCCTAAACAATTTGCCTATAACCACAGTAGAAGCACTTTAGGTGCAGCCGCCTTCTTATATCATAACATTGCTTCCAGTCTAGACAAGGGGGCTAAATTTATTCGTTGCGCCTTCCTAGACTATACATCTGCTTTTGACTCGGTCCCTAGGGACATCTTATTAAATAAACTTGCTGCTAGTCAAACAGAATGTTGGGCTGTTAACTGGTTACATTCCTATTTCTCAGAAAGAAAGTAGTACACCGTATATAAAGGGAAGTCTTCCACTTCATTGCCTACTGAAGCTGGTGTCCCTCAAGGCGCTGTCCTTTCTCCTTCTCTTTTTTCTTTCTTCTTGCATGACTTGCCTCACTCCGATGAAATAAACTTTGTGAAGTACGCTGATGATTTAACAGTTTCAATGACTGTTAACTCCCAGCTAGATTGTACCAAAATAAATAGCTTTCTGTCGGGAGTCAGTAAATGGTCTGAATCTAACGGTCTTAAACTTAATCCTTCTAAATGTCAAACTGTTAACTTCAGCTTAAGATGTAAAAGACCGTTAAAAGAAGTCATCGATTCTCATGACAGTTGTAAGATTGACGACAATGATATAGGAATTAAATCAGAAATTAAGTATCTTGAACTTATTCTCTCTTCTGATCTCTCCTGGTCTTCCCAAATCTTAGCGATGTCCAGTAAAATATTCCACCTGACATTCTACATTAAGAAGTTAAGGCACTCGGGTATAACTCAACCCCTCCTCTTACAGTTCATAAACTCTTGCATCCTACCTATTCTTCTTTATTGTTCACCCTTATTCTTTCCTGGTTTGCTTAAAAAGGACTATGTCATAATTCGTAGAATGCTGAAGACTGTCAGTAGGGTGAGTGGTGTCCCAGTGGACCACATAGTTAACGTCGTTTTCGATAGGCACTTGACTTCAGAAAACTGTGTGCTCGCACGTCTAAGTATAAAAATTCTATGATACTATACTTGGCACGTATTTTACGTGATGAAAATAGTGTCAGGCAAGAATTAAGTCTGCTACAAGTGACATCACACACACGGCAAGCCCTCGAGTGGAATCTTAAGGAGAAACGACGATTTAAGCCTTCGTGAGTGCTAGGTGGAGATGAGAGCTTATAGGCGATGATGGAGCCGGCTAAAAATGACTGAAGAGGACACGAGGAGGTGAATATGTACTGTACTGGTAGTTCAAACTGCCACACTACATGAAGCACACCATGACACAACCAACAACCAAAATAGGTCATATAGAAGCTACATAAAAATATAATTTGGGCACTGCAGTAAAGTACAGTTCTATCACTGAGTAAAAAGCACAATTTATTGCTCATACTCACACGAGTTTCTAAAATCGTTTATATAATTCACTTGTTATCTATCATTTGATTTTATTGGTAATCTTTTCCCTAACTCTGGCATCGATGTTTCGTCATACTTACTTAACGTGTTAGATGTAGACCCGATGAAAAAAGATTCCGTGATCAACCTCTACCTATACTAAATTTTAGAACTGTAGCTCTGTCCCATTCTTCTCGGTGTTAATGCATGCATTGTGATTGCTGACTTTCTCTCCATCATCGTGAGGTTAGTCATTCTATACTTAGCTGAATTCTTATGTTCCAATAATCTGACCGCCCCCGAACTACTCATCTGACCTATGTAGTTGACCTTACAGTCATTGCAAGGTGTTTTGTAGACCACATTATTTAGTCTATATTTGGATTCTTCAGCCTACAGAGTTTGTCTTTGAGTGAGTTCGTAAGTTTAAATGCCACTCTAATTCCTGCTTCGTTGAAAGTCTTACTTACGGCTTCATGTGTCCTTTCCTCTATATAGAAATGCCTGACTACTCACATCGGAAATACTTAATTACATTTTAGGCTGGGCTAGAGGTGTATAAGCACGATTTAATACAAATAACAGTAGTATGTGCAAGTTGGATTGGTCTTCAAAGTCTTATTTATTCAGCTGCTTGCATTGAGATTGGAATACTGAAACATTTTTCGCTAATCACTTTCATTTTTGATAACACAATAACTTATGTTTTTACGTTGTAGGTTTCCCTGTTGTTCTCTAAACAACTGCTTGTCTTTTCTATGTATTGTCATTTTGTCCAGTTATCTAAGCAGCCTCGTTTCAAATAAAGACAGCGGCGCAGAGGAGAATGTCAATGCCAGTCAGGATCAGAAGAGCAAGATGGCGTTTAATTAATTTGAAGTCTGTGTGGAAATCCGCGGCACTCAGCATAAAAAACAAAACTCGGGTTTGCAACACTAATGTGAAGTTAGTACTTCTGTGTGGTTCGGAGATATGGTAAGCTAAAAGAAAAGGTTTCCAACAGGCTGCAGCAAAATTTCATCAATAGCTGTCTTCGCTCCATACTTAAAATAAGACGACCGGCTAGGTAAGGTAAGATAAACACCCCAATGAACTCTGACAAGCTACGAAACAACCAAAAACCTTTCAAGCTAGAGGGCTGAAGTTTCTGTAGCAGTGTTTATTTTTACAGGATGGGGTTGCCAGCCTTATGCCCAACCTTTCTTCTTTACCAGTGTTATTACTGGCTTACTGAGGTAAAGGAGTGAGTCGACCGGGGATCGAACCCCGGACCATTTGCATGGTCAGCGAGCGTCCTAACCGGTGTGTTACCGACGCACAAGAACCTATTAACCAACAAATATACCGAAGAAAATGGTGACGGATTGGACATACGCTGAGTGACATCGCGCGCCAGGTTCGCTGGTGGCACTCGAATGGGAAACAACAAGTTGGGCGTGAAAGATTGTGGGTGATGAAGGAGCCAGATAAGACAGACTGCAGAGAACAGGATGAAATGGAAATATGCTTTTGAAGTCGAATGTTCCACTGAGAACCTAAGGGAATAATAATAATGTATTGTCGCCAGTATTTGATTCAACTAATTCCAAGGAGTCTCTTTGCTTAAAAGTTACAGTGAACTAAATAACTAACCCTCCCTCAAAAGAGCAAAAATAGTTAAAAAAAACAACAACACTAAACGTGAATAAAGTCAAGAAATACAGTCATCTTTTATTTCAGCAACACGTTTATGCGCTAAATACAAAAATGCAATACTACACATAGCACTAATAAGAAAGATAACTTCAAACCAACGATGATAAAAATGAAACTGTAAGTCACCGAGCACCTGATTCAGCATATTTCTATACTCTGCAGTCATATTCATCCTCAAGAGTAATACCGATGAAATAAAATATGTACCCATCACTTGTGCAATAATCAATACAATGATATTGGATGATTTTGTACTGGCAATAGCATGAAAAAATTTTGTCAGTGTTATTAACAAACCTCGAATCGATGTGACAACAATAATACCGACAAGCCAAAAAGAGATTTGTTGTGACCAAAATTTCACATCAATTTGAAAGCCTAAATAGTGTACAGTTATACCCATAAAACGTGTAATAGGATCTTGTCCACCGAATCGATTCAACAGAATATTTACAATCGATATGAATATTTTCCAACAACAATAACCACAGAAAAAGTAGCCAAGGCAGTTGAAGTATCTGCCTTTCCAGGTTTTTGAGAATTCCACACGTTCTTGAGCAGTTCGAAGATAGTGTAATTCAAGAAATAATTGACGACTAAGATCTTCTAGAACAGATATCTACATTAAAAGATAAAGAGGGGGGGTGGGAGAGAGAAACAAGACTGTGAATAACAGCATGACATCAAGGATAACAATATTCAGAAGTAATCATGTTCCAAATAATCTTTTGTGAGGTTGAATTGATAGTTCCAGGGGGAAAATTTACATATTTTGTAGGCGATTAAAGCCACACAAGCATGAAACAGATAAACAGGACAAGGCTTATCTCCATTTTTATCAGTGTAACAAACTCGGACTAAGTACCTGCCTAGTTCGATGGAAGATATGAAAGGGCTAGGAGATATTGACCACAAATATTTGCATTCTATCTTCTGTGGTATACTATGGTGAGCAATACTTAAGTTAGGAGGCGAGCAGGCTAAATTAATTGATGGGGTTGTGAAGTTATATCGATTGCTTGAGATAGCTAAGATGCGTGCCACCTATGCCACGTCATCACCTTCCACAATGGACACTGTTAGCTGACAGGATTAGGTGGGGAAATTGGTTTAAGCCAACCACGCAGGGAGGTGAAAACTGCCTGGTTGAGGACCTCGTGATGCTAAGAACCAATAGCTAGAGACTATTACTGAAATGGTTGGAAATCCTTCTTAGTGGCGCAGATCTATTCACTTTTTGTAATATTTTATGCCAAGAAAACTGTCATTTTTCCCCTGCAAGTGCTTATTATATTTCTTTTGAATCCCTTTCTCTCATATTTGTCTAGCTTAGTGTGCTACATGTGGGGTGGGTGGTAAGTTAGACTACTGCGATTTTGTGCAAAGTCCTATGTTGAGACTTAGGCAGTCAGTTCATTAAACATGCATAGCTTGAGCAGTCAATGAAGTCCGCAACAGTTAGTTCAAGCCACATAGGAAGGTGCAGACTTCCTGGTTGGGGTCCTCGGGACGGTAAACACCACTGACTGGAGACAGTTAGCGACACAGCGGTTGGGACACTCGCCGACCATGCACATGGTCCGGGGTTTGATCCCCTGCCGACACACACCTGATATCTATGGTTGACCTGCGAAATTTGGGCTACCGAAAATTTCATACTTGTATAAAAAATACGGCATGAAATCAAGCTATAATCAAAAATCAAAATACGGTTCAAAATCGTTCTCAATGACAGCACAGATGATGCATCCACTCCTTGAGACTTATAATACCCAATGAAACTTTATTGTTCTTCAATATCACTATTCTTTTTGTTTCATATCTTTGTTTACTGTCTCTACTTTGCATTCGCTTTTACTTTCTTCTCTTGCTTTGTGTGCTACATGGAATGTGGCGATTCGAACTGCTACACATCGGTGCAAAGTTCTATGTTGTGTTTAAACCAGTCAGTCAGTATAGTTTGAGTAAAACGTGCAATCAAACTGAATACATGACTGCTATCAGATTATCATGATGAATTCAGCTTAACCAAAATGATGGATGTATAGTACTCAGTATATTTTAATTCTTTTAGAAATAACAATATGAACTAATTTTTACACTTGATGCTAGAGAATTTTTTTTATAACCGACAGCTGCTACCGTGATATGGTGGTGGTCCGACTTGAATATTGTAGTAACCCAACGAGTTACACGCTAGCTGGAACTTATATTCCTCCAGGTTCAATAATAACAGAAAAGTCGTTTGGATAGTCATTAGATTAAAATCGGGTACCATCATAGTGGAAGCCATTCACGCTACGTTGTACTGCTGACGGATAGGGATGCAACAACAGTAAGGTGTTTCCAGCATACCAGCTATGCTGTCTTTCCACTCTTGAGAGGCAGATAGAAAAGGTCGACAACGACTTATCTTGCGGTGGTCCGTAGCCGACGGTTATATCTTAATACGGACACAACTCCAAAAGCCATCTGAAACAGGCCGTGAGCTACAGGACTCAAGCAGTTGTTCTTTAGACTCTGCCGACATACAACACTAGTGCTCTTTCTGTTCCAGATACTCCCAAAAAAATCAACTTCCACGATATGGACAGCTGGGAGGTAATAACTACCCACACAATTCCATAGCCAGAATTTGTAATGCAGAGCTGGAGTTATAACTAATTACGTACAGGCGTGAAATTCTAAACTCACACGAACATATAAGCCCAACAGAGGAGTGAATTCAGAAATTCCAGTCATTTAGCTTAAGGACACATTCATGCTTATAAAACTGAGTGTCACTTAAAAGAACAACAGATGAGTTAACAATGATGCGTTTAGTTATCAAACCCAAGTGAACCGATAGCAAGGGGTATCTTTAGGTTAAACATAATATAATTACTCTGCAGTGGGTGACTGGTTTCAAAGTAGAACTGATGTGCTGCAGTTCGAGTTGCCACACTTCACTTAGCACAAAAAGCAAGAGAAGAAAGTAAAAGAAATTTCAAACCAGAGACAGTAAACAGAGGTACGAGGCAAAAAGAATAGTAATATCGAAGAACAGTATAGTTTTATTAGATATTGTAAGTCACAAGAAGTGGATGCATCTTTACTGTCACTGAGAACTATTCTGAGCCATATTACTAATTGTCTGCAGCCATTGGTGTTTACCGTCCCGAGGACTCCAACCAGGAAGTCTACACCTTCCCACGTGGCTTAAACTAATTGTTGTGGATTTCGTTGACTGATGAGTCCATGTTTTCGTTTGACCACCACTAGCTTGTTTCCACTGTCTGTCATTTACTGTGATCTACTTAAGACAATTCTCCAACTCAGTACAGATTGTTGAGTTTCCTTTCTTTTACAACTTAGTTTCTCAAATTGTATAATTATACATACAAATTTTTTAAAAGAATTTAGAATTTTCATCACATTTATCAAAAAGGGAGGACAAACAATAAGAGGACAGTAGCACGCTTTAGAGACAACTGCATTATGTAAAATAAGATATTGAAGACTCTATCTACTGTATGCAAAATAATGCTCAAAGTGAAATCATTGTTACTGCACTACACATTTTTCGATTCAGTCAACTTTAGTTGTAAGATGCAAATCTATTGTCTGTCTGTTTTCGACATAGAACTTTGCACAAATGTGCGGAAGTTCAAGTCGCCACACTCCGTGTAGCACGCGAAGCAAGAGAAGAAAGTACAAGAAAAGCATAATAGAAACAGTGAGCAGAGGTGTGAGACAAAGGAGTAATAAAGAAAAACAAAACAGTTTCATTGGAGATCATAAGTCACAAGGAGTGGATGCATCTGCGCCACTGAGAACGATTTTGAGCCATGTCACCAATTGTTTCCAACCATAGATTTTTACCGTCCCGAGGACCCCAGCCTGGAAGTCTACACCTTCCTACGTGGCTTAGACCAACTGTTGTGGATTTCATTGACTGATGCCAAGTTTTTGTTTGACCGCCGCTAGCTTTTTTCCAGCCTGACCCTATATCCGCTAACATTGCTCGTCGAGGGAGGCGATGGCTTGGCATACGTAACACATGTCCTAACCATCTCAGTCTTTGTAGCTTCACGACTTCGTCGATTGATTTCCCCTGTTTACCTAGAACTCTACGCCTAACCTCAATGTTGCTCACCTTATTATGCCACTTTACACGGGAAATAGAACGCAGGCACCTATGATCAAAGACAGCTAGTCTTTTCATGTCTTCCACTCTCAGTGGCCAGGTCTCACAACCATAAAGGAGGACGGAGCGGACTGATGAGCAGTACACCCGCCCTTTGGTCGATAGTCGAACATCTCGTCTACGCCAGAGTCGGCGTAAACTAACAAATGCGAAACGAGCCCCTTGTATTCGTGCTGAGATTTCGTCAGAGATCAGCCCGTTGGGGGCTGATGGTACTTCCCAAATAAGTGAAGCGGTCAACGTGCTCTACCACTTCACTTCCTATTTTTAAACTAGGCGTCGATGTAGTCCAGTCCTGTAACATCATCTTGCATTTGGCGGGAGCGAATCGCATGCCAAACATTCGTAGATTGCGGCTCAAGGTGTTTAGAAGACTCTGCATTTCGTCAGCGTCTTCGCCTAGAAGGACTATATCGTCTGCATATTCCAAGTCAACGAGATTATTCCCCGGTAGCAAGTCAATCCCTGAGTCGCTGAAGTCACCTAGGGTTAAGTCCATTAACACATCTATGATGAAGTTGAATAGAAAAGGAGATAATGGGCATCCTTGACGGACACCACTGGTCGTCATCAGTTCAGATGACAGCTCGCCGTAAGCCCTCACCTGGCTGTATGAGTACGAGTAGAGTGCCTTAATCAGTGCAATATATTTTCTCGGAATTCCCTTTACAGCCAAGCATCTCCAGAGAACTTCCCGATCGACAGAGTCGAATGCTGCCTTTAGGTCAAGAAATATAATGACTGTTGGACGCCGGTAGGAATGCCTATGTTCTAGAATCTGTCGGAGGGTGAAGATATGATCAATACACCCTCTTCCTGGTCTAAAGCCTGCCTGGCTCTCTCGTGTTTGTGCTTCCCGAGCACCACTCAGTCTACGCATGATTATTGAGCCTAAGACTTTAGATACTATATTAGTCAAGCTAATCCCTCTGTGATTATCACAGGAAGACTTGTCTCCCTTCTTGTATATGGGGATAATCAGTGACTTACACCAACCCGATGGGACTTCTTCTGATTCCCAGACGCTGCCTAGTACCTCAGTTAATCCGGACAGTAAGCTGTCTCCACCGTACTTAAATACCTCTGGAGTCATTCCATCAGGTCCCGCTGCTTTGCCTAGTTTCAGATTGGTGACAGCTTTAGTAACCTCAGTTAGGGACGGAGGACCTGTGTCTATATCCCATTCAGGGAGGTGTTGGATGCTCGGAAGGTTGAGCGTGGCTGTGGGCAAATTAAACTGCTCCTCATAATGCTCTTTCCAACGATCCAGTCGTCTATCCTGGGAGCTAATTATAGTGCCATTTTTTTCCGAGATTGTCTCACTGATGATTTGTCTTCTCCCACCCGTTTCCCTGATGAGTCTAAAGAGTTGCCTGGTGTTGCCTATCCTCGAAGCTTTCTCCATCTCTTTGGCTTTTGTCGCCCACCACTGTTCACGGTCCTTGCGGAGACTTTTCGTAAGTTTCCTCTTGTGCAGCTTTCGCTCCTCATTGAATTCGGAGCTCGCCGGAATAAGTCTTCTAGCATCTATCAGTTCGGATGAGGCGGTGGAGATCCAGTGGTTTTTACTCACCTTTGGGTTTACCTTATTCACAGCTTTTACAGCTGTATCTATGGCTGCCTGGATATTTTTCCAAGCTTCTTCAGGGTGAGCACAGCTGTCGAACACAGATATGTGTTTAGCTAGTTCTTCCTCAAATACGGATTTAGTTTCCTGATCGAGCTGGGGACGTGATGGTTTTACCGCCAGCTGTTTCCTACGTCCGTTCAGTCGTAAGCACACCCGAGCGCGGACCAGTGCATGGTCGGTATCTACGCACGTGTTCCAGAAGGAGCGACAATCTCCTACCGACCCACGCCAACGATAGCTTATTGCTATGTGGTCTATTTGTGTCCAGCGTTGGTTTGATGAAGGGGGTCTCCAAGTCAAACAGTGTCTCTCCTTGTGTTTGAAGTTAGTGCTTACAAGAAACAAATGATTATCAGAGCAGAACTGTAGGAGACGGTCACCGTTGTCGGTTCGCTGGCACGGAACTCCATAGGTGCCACCGACATCCTTCTCAGATTGACACAATTTCCCTACTTGAGCGTTAAAGTCACCAGCTAGAACGACTATGTCTGAGCGTTTAGCCTTTCGCACCAAACTAGACAGCTTTTGGTAGAACTCATCCTTCGTTTCATCTGAACTGCAGTCAGTGGGGGCGTAGGCGGAGATTACGAAAAGGCATCGGCGAGTAGTGCAGTCCTTCCTCCTTCTTACTGATCCGTTCAGGCGGACAGCACACATTCGGCTATCTACCGGGATCCAGTCAAGCAATGTCTTTTCTGCCCTAGTACTCAAAGCTATCCCTACGCCAGCTAATCCTCGTGAACTAGCTGTGGCATCTCCTGACACCCTCAAGGTGAATTTTGCAGATTCAACCTGTTGGCCAGGTGGGGTTAGGTGAATAACCACACTTGGGTCTTGTATGCGTGTTTCTGAAACACAGCATACATCAATGGCTCGTGATGCCAGGGTCTTGGCTAGTGATGCTTGTTGTCCTATTTGGCAAAGTGTCCTAACATTAAGAGCTCCTATATGAAATTGGTGGCGCGGCTTTAAGAGGCTGTCGGTGGTGGTTTTTTGGCTTCCATCGTTTTTAGTGGACGCAGAGTGGAGAGCTATCAAGTCGAGGAGTTGCATCAGTGGAAGGAAGGCAAGATGATAGAGATGAAGATGAAGACAAAGATGAGTGAGTAATAGAGAGGTTTCGTGTGCATTTCGGATTGTGAGGGCGATTGTTACTTCCCGGCTGCCCACACCGTGGAAGTTGGTTGCGTGACCGCAGAGCCCAGGGGACAACTGCTTGAGGCCGGTCACACGCGGCCTGTTTTTGTTTGGTGTGTCTCAGTAGCATATTTATCACTCCTGCCCTGTGACACGGCAGCAGGAAGCGCGGTCGTTGTTAATCCGGGCCACGGCCGATCCGGCATGAAATTTTGTGATTTTGTATTGGACATGATGTTGGATTGGGTAGCTGCTTTTTGTTTAACCGCTATCCAAACAACCTGCCTGGCATGGTAGACCTCAAGAGACATAAGTCTCAGCCAGTATAGCTTGAATAGATCATTGCGGTGTTCAAGCCCGACCACCACGTCAAGGTAGCAGCTTTCGGTGAAGTGAACCTTGCACAGGGTCTCGAAAGAAAATTTAGGTTTTATTTGTTATATGTTGACTTAATTCTATTGTGTCATATTTCGTATGAATCTTTTTGTGGAGAAGGTACTATGAATCTGATCTTTAAGTCTAGGCAGTGATGTAATGCAATACTAACAACTGTAACTCATTTGGTGAAAGACATTATCAAGCCTAATACACGAACTCGATTGCATAAATTAGTGAGGAGAATTAAAGTTTCGCTGCTGTTAATAAGTCATATTACCACTTAACAAAAAGTAACAAGGATTAAATTAAGCTTTTAATCAACAAAATGTATTTTCTAACCTCATGTTTTAATACTTTTTCGTCAACACGAGGAGATGAAATAGACATTCCAACTGTCCGTAGCATGTTCCAAAAAGTGTTAGGCTTCTCAGTGGATGTTAGCTGTAATGAGAATGAAAAATACTTTATGAGGAATAAGAAATGTGAAATTGCAAAGTTATCAAGTAACAACTATAAAGGACGTAGTCTACAATGTAAAACGAATAAAATGATGTCAACTGTTATGTGAGTGTGAGTACTTTACTACTGGAAGCTAATAGTACAAAGAAATTTTGTAGCCGGTAGCAATACACGATGACTGATACTCTACAAGCACCAGGCAGAGCGCCAAACTAATTATTGGTACAATTGGGTACCGGCCCAATTTATTATATTCCATATCGCCATATCAAGTCGAAAATAAAAGGGGAGATAATAGAGAGGTTATTTTATACAGTAGTATTAGACAAATCAGACTATTTGGACAAGGTGAATACTCACATACAAACAGGACCATATGAGGAAATTAATAAATCAATAGACACAGTTATGAATAAAGTTAAGAAATCCACAGCGGATCTTATACGCCGAATGAAGCCGTTTCTAGGTGAGTCTAAGTGGTTTAATTTAATGGCCAAAACTAATAACCTCAGTAGGATGTATGGTGTTGTTAAAGTTCATGAGTCAGGATATCCTATTAGACTTATAGTTGATCTTAGAAATTCACCTACTTATGAATTATCTAAATATTTAGCCATGGTATTAAATCCCCTTAAAAGCCACTCAAAATCTAGACTAACTAATTCTTATGAACTAAAACATAGATTAGATAATGTAAAACTAGATAATGAAGAGAAAATGGTTAGCTTTGACATTGGTAGTTTATATACACGTATACCAATAAATATGGCTATAGAGGAAGTCAGAAACGAACTCATTTCTGATCAAGAACTCGAACTTAGGACGAAAGCGCCACTTGAGGTCATAATGCTGGGAGTGCAGCTGTTTCTGACTTCCATAGTAATTAAATTCCAAAGGAAAATACACAAACAAACTGAGGGAGTTGACATGGGATCACCAATATCCCCGGTTGTAGCAGATATATTCATGGATAGGTGAGAAAACTTAACGACTGAAACCTTCACCCTCACCCCAAAAGTATGGTGGAGGTATGTAGATGACACATTCACTGTACTTAGAACCCAAGATATAGATAGATTTTTCGAACACTTTAACTCAAAGGTGGAGGCAATTCAATTTACTTATGAATTGGAAAATCAGGAAGGGGAGCTTCCAGTTAGATTGCAACGTAGAAAGGAAAGAAGATGGGAAGTTAAACACTAGTGTGTTTACAGGAAACCCACACATTCAAACAGATATTTGGACTTCCGATCATCCCATCCTATGTCAGTAGAAAATAGGATTGGTGAAATGTTTAAGTGACAGAGCACAAAAACTAAGTAGTACCAAGAAAAATCTAAGACAGGAAGTGATACATATAAGAGAAGCCTTGAAACCTAATAATTACCCTGATAAATAATCAGGAAGTACGTAGGGAAATGTAAAATTAAAATAAATAATGATACTAGTGATAGTGATAATAATAATATTAATGACGACATGCATGTCAAACATGCGCAGGATAATGACAACATCAACAATAGGGAATATAAATCGTCAGTAGTCCTTCCACACACAGAAGGAACTTCGGAAACCTCACGCAGAATTCTTAACAAAGCAGGAACAAAAGTGGCATTCAAACCCACAAACTCAATTAGAAACAACTTTTGTCGGTTAAAGGATCCTGTTTGTCTGTCTGGATTCAACATAGAGCTTGGCACCGAAGTGGATCCTGTGGAGTCTTTAATAGAAAATAATTTAGTTTATCTAATACCCTGCCTGTGATGACTGTCGGGTTAAATACATAGGTCAAAGTAGTAGGACAGGAGCAGTCAATCAGACTAGCTGGGCATAAAAACCTAGCAGCGAAATCTACATTGGTTGACCCGAATAAGACAAGGAATCTAGCGAATAGTTCAGCTATAGCACTACATGGAGTTGCACAACCACACAACAGGATGGGATAGGATGACAGTTGACTTAGTTATTATAACATCTACTCTAATGAAATGTTGTCTGGATGAAAGTTGGAACCAGTTCTACTATTACAACTTGCCTGCGGCAGATATCCCAGTAAAGATCAATTTCACCACAAATAACATTTCCTAGGAACTGACCACTTAAAAAGGCAAATCTGTACGAAATATGTCTGATTTAGGCATTACAAAATTAACTAGTATCAGGAGAAAAACATTAACAGAGAAAGGTTACATCGAATGTAAGATACGATGACGTTGGGTCACATTCTATAGCTTAGTGCCTACATACGGGATAAGTTTTAGGGTATTTACCATTTATTTGATGCAATAAACTTGGAGTTTAGAAGTGCCATACTGGATACAAATGTTGCTTAACATATTAACCTAGGTACTCTTAAGACAATAAGAGAGTGGTAAAACACGATGCAGTTTGCCACCTGGAAAAGAAACCAACTACAACAAAAGCCTTACCTTCATGCGAGCTTCAAACTGCAGTTGAGCTAATCTGCGTCGCTTGACCAGGATCATATCCACAGTTTGCAACAGTCGTTTTTCAGCCGTACGTATTTCAGAGTTAGAAACTGAGAGAGCGAAGTAAGTCATGCAAGAATATGGATAGCTGACAGCACCAAAGCCAGACAACAAGGCCATTATAGTAACTCCGATTACACCAATCCTACTAATACACTGCTCCAGAAAGACCATTCCATGTTTGCTACTTAGAATAGGGAAAGACGTTCCTACTTTCCAGAAGACGTACAAATAAGCGGTCGTCAAAATAAATGAGAAACACAAACGGAAGGTGTTTGTGGGTGGGATGAAACGTAAGCTCTTGCTGACATAGAATGATATGTAAAAAGGAATAACAATTATAACATCTAGCAGTATTGCGATAAGAATAAATTGCCAATGTATACGCCTGGACGAGGCTTCCAGAACATCAAGTATTTCAAAAATTACAAGTTCAAAAACTGTGCAAGAAAATGAGAAGGTAAGAGAAAAAATTGATGAAACGACAGTATCTTTAACTTCATAATCACGAAACAGCTGACGCAGAAAGAAAATCCATCCTCCAATGAAGAAAGCGGCTTGCGAAAATAGTAACGCGCATGAGTCCAGGAAAAGGCTCATAATGTGCGCGTAACCTTGAAAAACTAAAACACAAATAAAGACATATTTACAATCAAGATTTGCAAAACAATTCCATGTTTTTCTCTTAATTTAAAATATGGAAAAATTTTGCGGCCACTTTTTACAGCGCGCGATTTGATGTATGTGTATACTATGCCGAATGATCGGAAATGGATAATGTAATAAATGAAGATAATGAGAGTCTAGTGGATACTGCGGAAGATAATTCGTTGTGCGATAGATATGGCTTCCGTGGTGGTCAGCAATACACGCGGCCGGAAGAGTATGTTATATCTTGTATGAACAATGCAAATTTTAATGCTTTTTAATTGATGAGGTAATGTAACATTTTTTCCACAAAATAGGGTGAAACCTTCTGATGCTTGAGAACTTAATACATTATAGTGATAAGCGTGAGATTACTGCTGCACTTTGCCTTTTTAACCTATGATACGTGTTTGTAGTCATGCCTAATAACGTATGTAAGTAGCAGTTTAGTGGCCCAAGTCCAACAATCCAAACCAAATAAGAGAACACATTTCTAGCTTAGACCCCAGATGAAATATTCAGATTTTTTGTTAAGTATAGTAGTCTTTGAGCATATATTGGTCCTTTTCCAATATGCTCCTGTGATTTTATGATCCCCTCCTGACCTATTCTATTGAGGTTGCAGACAGCAATTCTTATGGAAGTCAGTTTCAAGAGTTGAAAAAACAAGTGCTGCTTAGCGATATGGTCCCTGGTCATTTTAACTCCTGCCGTTTCCTCTGAAATGTCCAGACCTGATGGTAATGTTGACGTTATGCGTAGTGTTGGGCAAAGAGGGAAAATCAATCGACGAGGCTATAAAGTTACATAGATTGAGATGTCTAGGTCACATGCTGCACAGGGCTAACCATCGTCTGCCCCGACGGGCATTACTAGCTGATACAGGTGCAGGTTGGAAGAGTAAGTGGTGGCCAAACAAAAACATGGCCTCATCAATCCATGAAATCCTTGACAGTTAAACTGAGTCAGGTAGGGTAGGAGATGCAGACTTTCGGGTTGGGGCCCTCGGGACTGACTCTAGGAATCAATGGCTGGAGACAATAGGTGACATGGCTCAAAATCGTTGTCAATGGCCAGCGCAGATGTATTCAGTCTCTGTAATCTTTCATATTTCTTTCTACCATTACCCATTCTGTTTCGCTCTTATACCTGTCAAACTCTATTGATTCTCTTCAGTCATCTTTTTGTCTACCTTGTGTGTGGTATTTGGAACGTGGCAACTCGAACTGGTGCACTTCGGTTCCAAGTTCTATGTTGAATCCAGACAGATAGAGACAGACCTGATGGTAGGGAAAAGGAAAGATAGCCCGGATCCATAGTCACTTTTTAGAATTCAAAACATTGTAATGAGATCTCTGACTACGACAACAGCAATAATTAGAGATTCAAAATGTTAGTTCTTTCCTTGTATGACAAGTTAGTTATAACAGGAATCATACGTGTGACTTTACTTCGAAACCTTTCTAGAATGTAAGGGGAACATTAGCAATTCGCCCTTCACTCCCATTACTTTTGAATTTCATAGGTAGTCTTTTTTGAGGTACTTTATCCAAAGCTAATGTTGAAATCTATGAGGACGTCGTTGGGTTTCTTTCTGTCCCTGGATTTGACCCAGCTTTCCTTTACCGTAAGCTTTTTCAGATGTAGAGGTCTTCCTAGCGGTCATGTTGTATTCTGGACAACAAGTTATTTTTTCCGGTTATATCATGATAGCTTTCTTATTTTTCCCACAACTGATTACCCTGTATTTTGAAGTACAGTGTGTAGACCTCTCTTGTGGATGGGCGTCACCATGGCTTCTCTGCAATCGCGCGGCGGCACTCAATTTGACAAAGTTGTAGTAGATCGGTCTACGATGAGAGCTTCCAGCTCCTTGAGAAGCCCTGGGTGAAGGTCCTCTGGCTTTATCGATTTCTTAGTGTATAGCATAGTTTGAGGACTCTGGAGAAGTAGTCTGCAATGCTTTCATCTTTCCCTGGTTCTTATCGATTGTGTCGGTATCATTATTCACGTTTTGGATTCTGTTTGATGTCTTATTTCTGAAGTTCATGTACGAAAATCTTATCTTGGGCTTTGCCACTGCGTTTTGTGCTAAATGTATTTCTAACTTCAACAGTTATTGATGAATTCCTGCCATAGCTTTATTTATACCTGCAGTTTACACCTTTCCGGCCTCTGACATCCTAAGCGTGCTAAACACGTGCCAGTATTCGTGCTTATACCTAATTCGACAAGTATGTGTGTGCGAATGAGAACAATCCTATGAAGATTAGTTAAATGTTTAGGACACAAAAAGTGTTAAGGAATAGAAGTTCTTTCATCATTATGAACGACTTCAAGTCATGTCAAAATTCCCTTCCTTGTATAACTCATACACTTGTTTGTGACGATACTAATAAGTCAAACGTAGTCACTCATTTAAAGTCAAATATTAAATTGTACTTTCGAAGCTGATTAAATCAGTTCTCTAAGTTGTATTCCTTAGGTTTCTTTTTGAGTTTCTTTGATATCAAGTATTAGAATATCTAATTTCACTGTTTCTCCTCGAAGTGATGGTTATGTTCTAACTGATGTTTCTACGTCACAGTGACAGTCTTTTGGAAGAAGTACCGGTTTTCAACCATTAGGCCTAGCCAACTAGTACTCACAATAGGTATGGCTTCTTACCTAATGTATGAACCTTTTAGGTTAAGTCATTATTTTATTTTTATAGTTGAATTCGACTTGCCATTTCTAACGTATTTCGTTAATTAAGTATGAAACTGCAGCTGAAGGCTTCACTTTGAAGTCATAAGATTCTATACATAATTTGGTGAAACTTAAGAACGCCCACAATGTTGTCACCTAATTAAGGCAGAGGCCTTTCGAATTAATAATGGTTAAATGATATCTGTAATCCCTCTGTACTAAAATTCGTTGCCAGAGTAACGTAGAAACCCATTGAGTGAGCAAGGACCCTTCGACAAAGTATGCGTCAGCACAACACGGTACGATGGACAGTGGGTAGCTATCGTAAGTTACTAGTGTTGTACAGGTATGAAACATGGCTTTTAAAATTGTAGTGCGGTTATTATGGTATCGAATGGCTACTACTTTCCTAACATCACTAGAATCACTTTTACAGCGATGTATATGGTGTACAAAATTGGGGATGTAAATCGTCAATCACTAAGATGTCGGGTATACATGTTGTCAATGTCCAGTTTCACCAAACTAGCGATGCCGGTTGAGGTATTGTTTTCATTTATTGGAGATTTTCAGGGTGATCAGACCAAAGTATAACACCGCCATATATTTGCTTGGACAAATGTCTGTTTTCAGAATGCAGTTTTCTTTTGGGGATAACATGGCTCAAAACCATTCATGCTTTGGCATTTTCCGAATTCTTAACACTGACTGTCTGTCTGTCTGGATTCAACATAGAACTAGACACCGAAGTGCAGCAGTTCGAGTTGCCACGTTCCAATTGGCACACAAGGTAGACAAGAAGATGAGTGAAGAGAATCAATAGAGTTTGACAAATATAAGAGTGAAACAGAGTGGGTAATTGTAGAAAGGAATATGAAAGATTACAGAGACTGAATACATCTGCGCGCCATTGACAACGATTTTGAGCCATGTCACCTACTGTCTCCAGCCATTGATTCCTAGAGTCCCGAGGGCCCCAACCCGGAAGTCTGCATCTCCCTACCTGACTCAGTTTAACTGTCAAGGATTTCATGGATTGATGAGGCCATGTTTTTGTTTGGCCACCACTGGCTCTTTTCCAACCTGAACCTATATCAGCTAGCAAAGCCCGTCGGGGGAGGTGATGGTTAGGCATGCGCAGCACGTGACCTAGCCATCTTAGTCTATGTAACTTTATAGCCTCGTCGATTGATTTTCCCTCTTTGCCCAACACTCTACGCCTAACGTCAACATTACTTACCTTGTGAAACCACCTAACGTGAGACAGAGATCGCAGACATCTATGATCGAAAGCAGTCAACCTTTTCATGTCTTCAACGCGTATTGGCCATGTTTCAGAGCCATAGAGAAGGACGGAGCGAACTGATGAGCAGTACACACGTCCCTTGGTTGATAACCGGATGTCACGCCTACGCCAGAGATGGTGTAAGTCAGCGAAAGCAGCTCGAGCTTTTCGGATCCGTGCTGAGATTTCATCGCCAATCAGTCCGTTGGTGCTAATACAACTTCCCAAGTAGGTGAAGTGGTCAACATGTTCTATCACTTCACTCCCTATCACTAAGTTAGGGGTTGACGTGGTCCAGTCCTGTAGCAGCATCTTACATTTTACAGGGGCGAATCGCATGCCAAACATACGAAGATTGCTGCTCAAGGTGTTCAGAAGACTGCATTTTTTCAGCATCCTCCCCTAACAGGACTATGTCATCTGCATATTCTAAGTCCATTAGATTATTCCCTGGTAACAAGTCGATTCCTAAGTCACTACGTTCAGTTAAGGATACTTCCATTAGCATATCTATGACGAAGTTAAACAGAAATGGGGAAAGTGGACATCCCTGTCGGACACCACTGGTTGTTACCAATTCAGATGACAATTCCCCATAAGCCCTTACACGACTACGTGAGTTTGAATAGAGTGCCTTGATTAGTGCAATGTATTTTCTTGGCACTCCCTTCATAGTCAGACATTGCCATAGTACCTTTCGATCCACGGAGTCGAAGGCCGCCTTCAAGTCAAGAAATATGCAATTGTTGGACGCCGAAAAGTGTGTCTATGTTCTAGAATCTGTCGAAGAGTGAAGATATGATCTATGCACCCTCTACCTGGTCTAAAGCCTGCTTGATTTTCCCTTGTCTGTTCCTCCGAGTTCTGCTTAGTCTATGCATGATACTGAGCCTAGGATTTTAGAACACTGACTAACCTTCATCTAATTGTCCTCTCTTTCACATACATTTATTTATAGCAGTATCATTCTATTTTTTTTGTGTCTACTGTTTCAAATTAAATGCAAACTTATTTAGTGCATTTTTGTGTAGAGTTCTACGTTGGTTTGTCTGTTTGTTTGCCTTTGTGGTGCATGTCTTTATTGATTAAAAGTTTGTGTGGAACCTTATGTTGGATTAAATTCACTTTGGTTTGTTTGCTGTAATCCGGGCAAACAGTCTGTTGTAATTATAATCTCTTTGTCAATTAAAATTTTAGATTGTATGGGTTTTTAAATAATAATTGTAGTTTCTCTACAGGTTTGTTGTCTTCGATCGTTAAAAGTGTACTTCGGCTATGCATTTTTTTATATTTTGCATATTTAGAGAAGATCGTGTTCCTCTGGAAGTTTTACGTTCACGTGAACTGAAATGGCGTAAAATGTGCTCTAATTGGAGTTTGTGGTATTTTAAATATCATCAAAAATTGCGTGATCGATGTCGTAAAGGCATTCCCGATTCATTTCGTTGTGAAGCTTGGCAACGACTCTGTGCAAGTCCTATGGTACTTGTTCAGCGGCAACGGATAACATGTAATGACCAAATGGAAGCACAAACAACACCAGCCTCGATAGGCAGTAATCAAAACAATAATCATAATAGTAAACACAAATTTCCAAAGAGTCGTGTCGGCACATTATCAAATCAAACAAATTATAAAAGTCTCCAAACTATTATCACTTCACCAAGTTTCCATACTAGTCAAGGGAAAGAAGACGATAGGTAAGTGTTAAGCTTAAATAGTCGTTATTTATTATTTTGTATGTGATAATATGTTCTGGAAGTATTTAAAATACCAAAAAAATCAGAGAGTACAGGACAGCTGTTTCGTTCTGGTTCGGGACTCTTCTGCAGTACGCACCGATGACCTCACCGCCAAGGACCTAACCCAGGATTTTCAGGTCATGAGGCGGATTAGCAGGAGTTAGAATTCACGAATCATTGGATTTCGTCCCAGTAGCTGAATGGTCAACACGGTCGCCTTGTAATCTGTACGTTCTGGGTTCGATCCCTAGTGGTGAGGTCATGGGTAGTGCATGCTGTTGAAGAGCCCAAAACTAGGAGAAAACAGCTGTTTAGTACCCGCGACTGCTGGTTTTTGATGGTTCTTTAACTGATATTAGTCCGTGATTAAATTTACTGCCATAATTGTTGGGATCTTTGGAACAATGTCTTTTTTGCTTTGTGTGTATGTATATGTGTACCTGTTGGTATTCTATTAGTATGCAATGCAGTAATTTTCATTTCTAATATTAGGCATTCATCTAACATTAATTCAATTTTGACCTTTACATTAGCACTACTATAAATAATGTCTTCGTTGTCCCCTTGGAATGCAGTTGAGAAACCAATAATCAGTAGTAATAGTAGTATTAGCATAGACATTAATAACCCCGATAATATTAGTAATTATAATTGATGATAATAATAATAGTGATCACGGGTAACTTATGCGTGTTTTTGATGTGTATTCACTTCATTTGTATTCACAACCGTACCGCATAATTATGGTATATCATATATTATTATATTATTTAAAACTTATGATTAAATTTGAAAGGTTACTTCGGGACATTATTCAAACTGTGTAATAATCCATTATCTTTCTATGCAAAGCAAGTCGCATTGAATAATGTATCTTTTACAGTGCAATCATTGTACTGCTTTGGTGTTCCTTACTTGGCTGCTATATGAGTATTATTATTTATTGTTCCCTTGGGTTCCTAGTGGAACATAGGGCTTCAACTGCAAGTCTCCACTTGCTTCTGTCTTCCTTCTTCTGTACTTTCCATCTGCACCCATCTTAGTCCATACTGTTTCAACTCTTCTTCACACGATCTCCTCAATGTCACCCACCCTTGCACTGACGTCCCACTCGCCGCTTCCCTTTCGGCCTGGTTCCACTCGAGCAATGGCCTGACGCGCGCACGATTTCACCCAGCAGCCTCCTCTGCGAGTTTCCAATCCATCTCCACTTTCTCCTGCGTATTTAATTGTTGGGCGATTGGTTCTTGTTTTGTTTGTCTCCATAGTTTCTTGTTGGTGATTCTTCCCGACCCGGCCATCTGATCTTCAGTATAGATCCAGCGAAGACAGTTATTGATAATGGTCTGGTCTGCAACAGGCTGTTGGAAATATTCTTTGTGACCCGCCCGCCAAGTTTCTGATCCGTATAGAAGAACTGACTGACTTGACGTTTGTATTAAAAATCCGACCGAATTTTGTTGTTGATGCTGAGTGATGAAGATTTCCAGATTGGTTTCAGGTTGATGAATGTGTTTCTCGCCTTCCTGATTATCTCTCGATTTGATATCCTCGTCCGTTCCGACTGTCTGTACTTGAGACAATGCCCAATGCTAGATAAGTGAGTGAATGAAATAACCTCTTTCAAATCCCTCCCGTTGATAGTATATGAGTATCATACTTGGTTATTATTCCCTTGGATTTCAAGTGGAATATTGGGCTTCAGCAGCACATCTGCATTTCACCCTGTTCTCTGTCATCATTTTTAGCTGGCTCCACGGTTGCCTATAAGCTTTCAATTACTCCTCACATGATTTCGTCCATGTCACCCTCGCATCTCCGCTCAACTCATCGTTTCCCATTCCAGTTCCACTCCACAGCCTGGCGTCTGCTATCACCTATTGGTGTCTCCTCAGCGTATATCCAATCCATCCATATTTGTTGGCCAATACGTTCTTGGTTGGTTCGTTAACAAAGTTCCTTGTTGGCTATCCTCTCTGACTGGCTCGTCATCTGATCTTCAGTCTGGAAAGTCTGCAGTAGCCTATTGGAAACGCTTTTAGTGACACTGGTGTCGATTCTCTTAACCATATAGAAGCAATGACTGACTTGATATTAGTGTTGAGTATCTAAATCTTGTTCCTTATGCTAAGTGCAGCAGATTTCCACAGGGATTTCAGAATAATGAAAGTCTGTCTTGCCTTTACGATCCTGCCTTTGACATCTTCATCCGTGCTGATTGTACCTACTAGTTGACTTGAAATTGGATTGTGATCATAAACAGGATCTTTTGGACTATATGGTAATGGTATTTAGTGTATTATAATTATAGATAAATATAAGTGGTTGAATAACTATCCTATAGAATTCATTAGGAAGATCACTAAAGGCCAAAAACAAAATAATTGTGAAACTAGTAATAATAACATAAATAAGAAAGAATATAAGTCATCCGCAGTTATACCATATAAAGAGGACATCTGAAACCCTGATATCTATGGTTGGCCTGCGAATTTGGGCTACCGATATCCACGCTGAAAATTCCACACTTGTACCAAAAATACGGTGTGGAATCAAGCTGTAACCATAAAATAAAAAAAATATGTAGAGTGTGAAAATATGGCCAATGGGTCCAGGGTCAGAGTCCTGTCCCACTTTTTTCAGTCTATGTAACTGGGTAGTATAATCAACCCTCATAAATTAAGTGTGACTCATAACCTGGAGCTTGAAAAACCTGTTCCAGGAACTGCCTTCAAACAGCAGGGTATAGGGTAACATCTTTGTAGGAAAATTTGCCGTAGAAGAATCTACAACACGAGAATGAGAATTCAGCAGAGATAATAAAAAGAGAAGACGTTCAGCGAAGAGACTCTTTTAGACAGCGAATTCATTCACATTCCATATTAGTTTGTTTATTAGATGTATCACACAGTGAAACAGTATTGTATACTGGATGACGTTTCGAACACAATTTATTGTTCATAATCATATCACAATTGACAACTGATATGATTCTGTCTGGATTCAACATAGAACTTGGCACCGAAGTGCAGCAGTTCGAGTTGCCACGTTCCAAATAGCACACAGAGACTGATATGATTATGAACAATAAATTGTGTTCGAAACCTTGTCATCCAGTAAATAATACTGTTTCATTCACTGTGTGATACATCTAATAAGCAAACTAATATGGAATTACTTACTACCACAATGCCCAAGTTTTACACTTAAATTCGTTCACATAGCTGTACAATCGCATTTATATATGATTATTTGTGTGTGTGTACATAAGGTCTGTCAATTTTAGATAATTAATTAGGTAATACAAGAATGATCTAATATACAAACAAGGTTAATTGGACAGCAACTAAAGTAAGATTGTGTTAGTAAGTTAGATGACGTAATATAATTGATATAAGAATAAAACTTGTGCACTGTGGTAGAGTGTAATTCCATTATGGGTAAATTTTGTTTTGATAAAGTCTCACAGTGTTATACAGTAATGTTTACTGATGACGTTTCGAGCACAATTTATTGCTCATAATCATATCAAGGTAATCACACGACTTCCTAAATTCATTTATATAGTTCCATTGTTTTTCTCTTGATTTTCACTTGATTTGATTGGTAATAGTATTTTCCATATTTCAGGTATGAGTGACGAGTCATTCCTATTGCATGTGTTGGGTGTAGACTCGATGAACAAGGATTCAGTAATCAACCTCTCTCTCCACCTACCTAGATTACTTTTTAGAATTTTAACCCTCTCCCACCCTATTGTGTGGTTGTGTGTTAATGCATGCATTGCAATTGGTGAGCTTTTTTCTAAATTACTCATCTTTTCAGGGTCAACCATTCTTACCTTAGCTAAATTCGTATGTTCCGACAATCTGACTACCCCTGACCTGCTGGTTTGACCTATGTAGTTGAACTCACAGTCATTGCAGGGTATTTTGTAAATTATATTATTTTGTCTAATTGGGTCAACTGGGTCCTTTAACCTACAGAGCTTGTCCCTGAGTGAGTTTGTAGGTTTAAATGCCACCCTGATTCCTATTTTATTCAGAATCCTACGTAGGGTTTCAGATGTCCCCTCTTTATATGGTATAACTGTGGATGACTTATATTCTTTCTTATTTATGTTATTATTACTAGTTTCACAATTATTTTTATTTTGTTTTTGGCCTTTAGTGATCTTCCTAATGAATTTTATAGGATAGTTATTCAACACCAACGCTTCTTCTATCTGTTTCAATTCATCATTTAGATCTTTTTTGTGCTACTTAGTGCCACTGCTCGGTTTGTTAAACATTTAACTAAGCCTGCCTTAACAGTTAAAGGATGAGACGAATTAAAGTCTAAATATCTATTGGAATGCGTTGGTTTTCTATAAACACTAGTGTGTAGTTTGCCTTCTTCTATTCTTTTTATCTTACAATCTAACATAGCTAATTCTCCTTGCTCATTTTCTGATTCAAATGTGAATTTTATTCCCTCAACTTGTGAGTTTATGTGTGTCAAGAAGCTAGAGATGTGTTCTGTTTTTAACACTGTGAAAGTGTCATCCACATATCTCCACCATATTTTCGGAGTAGGGTTAAATGTATTGAGGGCACTATTTTCCCAGCTGTCCATAAATATGTCTGCTACGATAGGGGATATTGGTGATCCCATTGCTACACCTTCTGTTTGTCTATATATTTTGCCTTGGAACTTAAAGATAGTAGATGTGAGGCATAACTGAATCCCTAAAATAATTTCTTCAATGGACAGCTTTGTCCTATGACTGAGTTCCGGATCCGCAGTTAATTCTTTTTTAACTGCTTCTAAGGCCATATAATATAATTGACTAAAATGTTTCAACTTAGGTCAGGGTAGCAACAGAGGTAATTACAGGTAGAGAGAGACTAAGTAGAAGTGGGGTAGATAATAATGCCATTTAAATTAGAAATGAAATTGAGCAAATAAGTTGGATGCCG